ATAGAACGTTACATGTGACTAAATAGGAATTGTACAACTTAATAGATTGAAGTATTCTTGTGTAGAATTATCACTCTTATTTCAATATCTCTTTTTTCACACTCTTTCCCCACACTTTTTTAAATCACATATCCATATTATTACATGCAGATCCAAATTCTCAAGCGCTAGGAGTGGAACCCAAAGATCAGTACAGTAATGGTTACTCATCACGGTTCTAATAATCTGCAGATACTGAAAAAGAGCAGCTTCTGCCCCTTCTTATATTTGCAAAGAGAGGCTCCATATGTGATACCATTTCGGAGGGAATACAGGGAACCTTGCAAAAGTGCACACAACGGAGGGCCTAAATCGAGTGTAGTGACCAAAAATGCCATGATTTTAATAACCTAGATGTTCACCTGAAGCGAAAAGACGGACGATCTGCAGAGCACCACCCCAAGCGCCAGCCACCGATACATGCGAATGGATGAACTTGTCTTTCCAGGCCTGTTATTTGCAACTGATCATTACACATGGCTGCAAGCACCCTACAGGAATGCTTTCACTGGGCAGTGAATGTACATCACAGACCACGCTGAGGTACATCACAGACAAGAGGCAGACCACTCTTCCGCTGAATGAGAGTTCGATCAAAAGTAGGATTAACTGAGTCGGATGATGACTGCAGTCGGAAAGTTATAAAATTTTTCGAAACGACCGGCAAGCCTAGTGCGTTCCAACCCAGGCTGGAATGCGCTACGTTTGCTGGCACGATCACACGTTTTTGCACTAAACTCACAGATTGCTAATAGCAGAAATGACCCCTGCATTGTAGCCTAAAACTTGGGCTCATATTGGCCGCGCTTTGGCTTCTTCCGGCATTTAAGAGAAAGGGCATTGGTTGGGATGAGGGTGTTGCTTTATAAGACTGCGTGGGCCCTCAGGTACATGACTACCAGTTTTTCTGCATGAAACCTAGTCAGATTTTTGATAAACACTCGCTTTTTGAAAAAGTATAAATTCCCAGTTCATTAAAAAGTGGAAGTGTTGCTAGAGCGGTCGTTCGTAAAAAAATTCATATATGCAAATTAACTGGATGTTCATTTAAGTATTTGGTTGAGGACGATCGTTTGCTGCAAAACGCATTCGTTTCTGATTTTTAATAAAGTCTATTACTTCTCATAACCACCTGCAGAGTATTTCACTTCCAAGAAGAATTAAGACCGCACTTGAAAGTAAAATATCCCAGCGAAGTTTCAACCTCGCATCTTATCCGGTAAGCAAAATAGCCACTTCGTTACAAATATCTTTGAAGTGTCCTAAGTCGTGGCGCAAGTGCGAATCGGAACTCAGTTTAGGTATACGATTTCCAATAGGGGCGATAAACATGCCGACAAAATTTCAGCCACGATTTTTCGGCAAGTTTTCGAGTTAGCACAGTACCAATTTGCAAACTTTAACGTGGTAGTAAGCACTACACGAGCGTGCGCAACAGCTGAATTTGGAGTCTTTAGCTCGCAAATGCCCAGAGAATATTCACTGCGTATTTTCAGCTTTGCACCTTGTCTGGTTCTCAAGGTCGAGAACCACCAAAGAAATTTGCATATTTTTTCGGGGGGTCCGTACGCGGAATTTAGGCGCATGTGAGCGAAACTAGGATGACGCACGGATTGAAAATATACACCCAAAATTTCAGCCTCCTAGCTCTCCGGGTTGCTGAGATGAAAGTGGATGACAAAGTTCACTCGCTTCTGAACGTAAACACACAGACGACTTCTCGACAATTTGCGTTTTTGCTGCTGTAGTAGTGCTATTAGCGCTGCTGTAACGCTGCACAGCAAAAACATGTAAAAAGCATCACAGATTAAATTCAGGCAAATAGGACAGAATTGGTGTTTTGGTGAAAGAATGCGAAATGCAAAGGGTGTCTTTCCAAGCTATTTTTGTTGGAGGTAAAATTTCATTTCGATATAGGGATTATGAGCGGATTATGGCTGTATTAAAAAATTATGTAGTACGGCAACTAAAATCTCCTACACCGATCTTGTAAAGAGGTAGTAAGTCCCAATACATCTTGGGGACGAATGTTGCACATTTTCGAGTCAGAATGGAACTGGTCCAATTATTCTAACCGCTTCATATTTCCCTTAGTTAAATTCGTGGCAGAAAAGATGTCAGCAAACACTTTATTTCAGCTTCTCTTTCGGATAAAAGTTTTGTCATCCTGTTGCCTCATTTCGTGATCATGGAATTTAAGTTTTCAACAAGTTTAACAATAGCTTTTTTGAAAAACTGGAGAACCGCCATGTTCCTGCATCCTTGCCATAGTTGAACTAACAAATAATTTCTAATTGTCAGTAATTAATGAATTGTTATTGGGTTAAAACAAATAGAATTTTTCTTCCCCATTTCGGCATTTGCAAAAAACACGCAAAAGCTTTCTTTTCAAATATTTAGGAAGTTTCAGAAAATTTACAGGATTCTGTACAAATGATTTGGAGAAAGAATGGAGCGGGAAAAGCAATTGGAAAGGGCAAATGCTTGAAAAAAGTTCAAGTATTTGGAAAAATCCGGTTTTGAAAAGAATACTTGCAAAACTGATTAAATCCGCTTGGAAAAGGTAAAATAGATTTTTCAAGTACTTGGAAAAAAGATAAATTAGATTTCTGCGTGAATGAATGGGTGTATATGAATATATATGCATACACACATTGGTCCTTTAAATGGTTAGTAGACGGCTTGAGTGGAACCTGCGAGACTATGTTATTGTAGAAGTAGAGCATCACTGGATTGCCCATGCTGTGCGCGATTACCAACACTTTCCTTCGCCCGTTGTATCGATAAAGGTCCTCAATCAGCTGTATTAGATTTGCGTAATAAGTTTCATATTCATCTGCAAGTACAAATTCCTACATTAAATCAGTTACGAAAACTCTCAAGTTAATTCTCCTAATTTTCAGTAAACCTGAAAGCCATACTGGCTAATTGGAAAAAAGCAAATGTTTTGGTGATCAAATTAATGTGGTCGTTTTTTATGCGTCATTGCAAATATGCAAACTTCAAAAACGCATATTACAACGACCTTGTCTGTGAGCGTATGTGTGTATGTGCATGTGTGTTCGTCGGTCCGATCATTTCAACTCGGCGCCAAAATTTTAGAGGTTGGTTCCCTGGCCAAGTGCCATTCCAGGACCACGGTACCAACTCTCTTGAATGTTTAGGCCTCGCGTGCGACCGCATGAAGGTTTTAGCGGGAAAATTACTAACTCGGGAACGAGAAAAGCTAGAGAGCTGGAAATTTTTAGTTATGCTCCTCGTCCACGTAGAATTCAAAGACTTCAAATTCAGCCCCCAATTATGCGCGGTTCCTATTTAGGACCCCGACAGTGTTTCAGGTGGAAAATTGCTAACTTGGAAACCTGAAAAGCTAGGAGGCCGAAATTTTAAGGGGATGTTACCAGCTCATGCACAACTTACAGTTATCACATTCAGCTTCCAGGCTGTGTGGTTCTCACGTACAGCCCTGTGAAACTTTTTGGCGGGAAAGTAGCTAACTCAAGTACTAGGAGAGCTGTGAGGTCGAAATTTTAAGGAGATGTTCTCCGCCCATGCACAACTCGGCTCGAAGTATGCCCCCCGGTCACGTACGGCTCCGTAAAAGGAAATTGCTAATTCGAAAACCAGAAAATCTGGAAAGCTGAAATTTTGGGAGAAGCTGAATATCCCCCGTACAAATGCAGTTTAAAGGTTTCAGATTCAGTCACTAGGCACGCGTGATTTTCGTGTACGGCACTTAAATTTTTTGGCGGGAAATTGCTCGTTGAATAGCTGGGTCATTTTTCAAAGCCAGACTGGGAAGCATAAGGCTTGCCAGTGCGATCATGCGTTCTTGCATTAAACTATTCAGGTCATTAACTGCACAAATGGTTGTTATGCGTTTTTGCCTATATGCAAATTGCAAAAACGCATATTGGGACGACCCTGCCTGTGTG